GAGATGAGGTCTCACCAAGTTGCCCAGGCGGGTCTTGAACCTGTGGGCTCAGGCAATCCATTCACCTCAGTCTCCCAAGGCGTGGGATTACAGGCTGAGCCACCAAGCCCAACTGAAATTTTTTTTCTATATGAAAGCTCCATGCAGTCACATTGCCAATTAATGTTTGCTTATACCAAACATACACAAAATTCAGAATAAAATGAAAAAGTTTTTTTTAAGCCACATAAGACTATCAAAATCCAAAACACTGACAACATCAAATGCTGCTGAGGATGTGTGTAAAGCAACAAGAATTCTCATTGTTCATTGCTGGGGAATGTAAAATGGTACAATCACTTTGGAAGACAGTTACTTACAAAACCCACATACTCTTACCATACAATTCAGTAATTACATTTCCTGGCATTTACTTAAACGAGTTAAAAACTTACATCAACATAAAAACATGCACAAGAATGCTTGTAGCAGCTCTATTCATAACTGCCAAAACTTGGAAGCAACCAAGATGGCTTCAATAGATGAATGTATAAATGAACTATGATATGATACATCTATCTACACAATATATTATTATTCAGTGATTAAAAAAAAAATGAGCTATTAAGCCTTAAAAGACGTGAAGGAACTTTAACGACATGTTGCTAAGTGAACTTATATTATGCTGCACCAGTACACACGTCTTTAAACATTCATCAAAATCCACACTTTGTACATCACAAAGAGTGAATCCTAGTATAAACTATGAACTTAGAGAATAATGTATCAATATTGGGTCATCAATTGTAACAAATGCATCAAACTAATACAAGGTATGAAAACTAAGGAAAACTTGGAAAGGTGAGATAGGAGTTACAAAGGGATTTCTGTACTTTTTACTCATTTTTTTCTGTAAAATTAAAACTGCTTCAAAAAATGCCTATTAACTTTTTAAAATTAAACCACCTGAAGCTGATTAATGTGAACCTAGCTCAGAAGTCTGCTTAGTATATGTCACAAAATCCAAATCAAATATTGCCTAATATAAGGCAGCATATTTTAATTCAGATAAGACCACATCAATTAGAAAATGTTAACAATATTTGCTGAAAATTTATCTGCTATACCAGTGATTCCCAAACTTCTATGTATTAGAATCACCTGCTGATCTTTTAAAACTTCCAAAACTCAGCCATATCCCAAACTCATTAAATCACAATATCTGGAAGTGAGACATAAGCATCTGTATGTCTTAAAGCTCCCAGGCAATTCCAAAGCACAGTTAAATTTGAAAACCACTATATGAAAACTACTATATGCCGGCCGGGTACAGTGGCTCAAGCCTGTAATCTCACCACTTCGGGAGGCCCAGGTGAGGGGACTGCCTGAGCCCACAGGTTCGAGAACAGCCTGGGCAACTTAGCGAGATCTCATCTCTACAATAAATCAAAAAAATTAGCTGGGCATGGTAGCATGTGCCTGTAGTTCCAGCTTCTTTGAAGGCTGAGGCGGAAGGATCACTGGAGCCCAATAGGTCAACGCTGGGGTGGTCGTAAGCTTGCCACTGCACCTCAGCCTGGGTGAGGTGAGATTCCAACTCAAAAAAAAAAAAAAAAGCTACATGCATAAGCTCCAAGTTATGCTGTACTTAAAATGGGTTGATGTTCTCTCTAAACAACTAGAACAAAAAAATGACTTATACTTAAGGGGGATAACTAAATTTTTTTAGGCTGGACATAGTGGTTTACATCTATAATCTCAACACTTTGGGAGGTCAAGGTAGGAGGACTGCTTGGGGTCAGGTGCTTGAAACTAGCCTGAGCCACATGGCGAGACGTCATCTCTACAAAAAATATATATAAAAAATGAGCCAGGCATGGTGGCATGCACCATAGGCCCAGCTGCTTGAGAGGCGAGGCAGAAGGAGCACTTGAATACAGGAGGTTGAGATAGCAGCAATCTGTGATCTTGCCACTGCATCCAGCCAGGGTGACAGGGCAAGACAATGTCTCAAAAAAAATTTTTTTTCCTAAGATCAATAATTCTAGCAATGTTTATCCCAAATTCAAATTGTTTTTACTGGTTCCTCTCTGAAGTAAGCATGTGCATGTTAAACAAATACTTATATTAAACATTTCTATATAGTTTGGCTTTTTAGATGCTTTCTTTTAGTTTGGCTGGTGTAAATCGAATTCAATTTTCAACATACTGAAGACAGTAACCTAGATCAGATAAGGTAAAAATCATTTTTTAAAAAGATTTACAAGATTTGTAAATAGGATTAAAATGTGTGAGACAATGAACTTGACTTTAAATCTTATAATCCTGAGTATATTTTTACAGTAATGATTCATACAAAGTAAACTTTCTGCTAGCATAAAGGTTATTAGTAGAACCAACTGTTTAAAGATAGAAGAAACCCATAGGAAAAAGTCTTTTAACTATTAATAGCAGCCTCAGAGGAGAGTAATAAAGTCCTGGGATTTTTTTTTTAATTAGAGAGGCAAATAAAGCAGCAAAGAGTTCTCAGCAGCAAAGAGCCACTTGTGGGGGTGTTTAACCAGGGGTTGAAGGATAAAGAGAATCAAGATGTCCATCAACTTCAGTGGAGAAAAATACTAATTTTTATTTTTACTAACATCTAACAAGTTTTAGTATGCCCTTTGATTATCAATGTAGGCAAAAAGTCACACAGTTATTATTACTGCTTGTGATTTTTATCACTAATAGGAATCACATATGTTAACACCACATTACAGTTATCACAGGTATCTCAATGTTACCCTACTTTGAAATTATGGCAGTTATTAAACCTACCAGTACAATATATCTTGTTGATACAGAGATTCTGAAGCATATATATTAATGTATCAAAAAATCTGTTACTGTAATATTTTAATAACTATTTAAATATAATTTTTTGCAATATGCATTTTATTAAAATATCATTCTGAATCAGTGTCCATAAACTTCACCAGACCAAAAAGAATCCATGGCATACACAAGGCCAAGAATTTGCTTTTAATGCAGTCCAAAGTCAGTAAAATTATAATATAAAATCATGCTGCAGGAAATTCTGTGATAAATTCTGAGTAAGAATTATTTTTGTCCAATTTTAAAAAACTGTGGCAAAAAACTAACATTTACTGTCTCAACTATTTTAAAGTGTATAGTTCAGTATTATTAAGTACAATCATATTGTTGTATAATTATCACCACCATCCATCTCCAGAACTCTTTTCATTTTGCAAAACTGAAGTTGTATGCCCACTAAACAATAACTCCTCATTCCTCCCTTCAGAGAACCGGAAGGACCAGGCAACCACTATTCTGTGTCTATGAGTTTGGCTACTCTTAAATTCTTCATATAAATGGAATCACACAGTATTTGTCTTTTTGTGACTGCCGTATTGGACTTAGCATGCTATGTCCTCAAGGTTCATCCACGTGGTAACGTATGTCAGAATTACCTGAATAAGAGTATTATTTTAAGTCTGCATATAATGTCAAGACAAGAATGAATTTTATCACTCACTTTATATCCATATTATAGGAGCTTTCACATAACAGAATTAATATAACTACTCTAGAAATCCTGTTAATTATCCTTGTGGTTTTTACCTGGATTATTTTCCTCATCTCTTATGTCACATTATTTGAATATCAATAATAGTATTTTCTCATTTGAAAAAAAATCACCAAAAATAAAGATCTAAAAGGAAGCCCACTCTCTTCAGTGAAAGTTAAAAACATTTAAATGTCTACATAAAATATCATGTGGCCTACAATAGATATTTATATTCACATTACTTTCACTAAATAAAGATGCTAATTAGTTCAATTTTTGTACCCTGGACATGCCTAAACAGGTCATTACAATGGGATACACAAATGTCAACAAGACATTTAGTTTCATCAAGTTCTTGCAATTTTCACTCCTTACCTTGAAATGCTAGTACAGAATTGACTGTTGATCCTTCTACATAATGTTCAGGCATAGGGGACCATAAAAATGTATAATAATCACGAGCAGTACTCCACCCAACCTAAAGGAAAATGGCAAAAGGGGGGGTTATAAGCAAATAGTTTAATATTAGACCGATACAATATATTGTTTTTTTATTATATCCTAAAGATAAAATATGCATTTAATATGTTTATAAATAATAGTATTTTAACACACATGTCAAATTATAATTTTTTATTAAGCTATAGGCTAATGTTATAAAAATCAACATAAAGCAAATAAAAGAATTTCTGCTATGTACTAAAATGCAATTTACTACCCAATTTCTCAAGGATAATCTAAATATGCATATGATCAAATAAGAAAACTTGTTTTCATTAAAATGTGATTTCACTAAACATAATAGGCTTTTGCAAACATTATTTTATATCTCAAATTTTGTTTTGTTTTATTTTACTTACATATTCTCCCTCCCTTAAATTCACTAATTTCTCATCTTTGGTAAGTCTTGTCTGCAGCCAATTTGTAAATTTTATAAAAAGGCCTTTAGCACCAAGATGTTTATATATACACAAAAAGACCACCCATGACTCAGTTATTGCTAAAACATTTTTAACTGAACATGTATACATATCTCAACCTGTATTTTCCAGATAGACTGTACCATGTTAAGAACTGAAGGTTGGAGATGTTTAAAACTAGGTACTAGATACTAAAACTAGGTACTAAATATCAATTTGCTAGTAATATATTACAGGAAATTATGCATGAGCCACATGGTTAGATTACACATAACCTATGATTCTTATTGGCCCAGGATTACAGACAACAGAATACTGAAGGTGGAGGAACCTTAGTTACCTTATTCTCTAAAAGAATGGTTGAAACCACAGGTTACAACCCCACAGGAAATAGTAAAATCAATTTAGTGAGTCACGACTGGCATTTATTTTTTTAATTATACAGAAGAGAAAGTATCAGAGCGCCATTTCATGAATATTTGTTTTAGGGGTATTTGCATAAAACTTTGCCAGGATGAATCTTGGAATTTGTTTCTGTATGTCATGGTCAAAGACATTTGGCACTATTCATCTCTTTACAGATGAGAAGCTTGAGGAATCAGTGAATAAGTTATTTATCTTACTTGTCTAAACCTCAGGATTTTTTTTTTTCTTCTCATAATTGTTGGAAGAAATAAATTAGATGATAAATCTAAAAGAAGCTCTTGCTGGGCACAGTGGCTCACATATGTAATTCCAGCACTTTGGGAGGTGGAGGCAAGAGGATTACCTGAGACCAGGATTTTGAGACAAGCCTGGGCAAGTTAGCAAGACCTTGTTTCTTACAATAAATCAAAAAATTAGCTGGGGGTGGTGGTATGCACCTGTAGTTCCAGCTACTTGGAAGTCTGAGGCAGAAGGATAGCCTGAGCCCAGCAGACAGAGGCTGCGGTAGCCATGACTGCGCTACTGAACTCCAGCCTGGGCCACAGAGTGAGACTCTGACTCAAAAAAAAAAAAAAAAAAAAAAGAAGCTCTCCAAGTGCCTGGTACAAGATGTAAGGTCAGACTGCCAGAAATGACCATTTACTAGCTGTATGGCTTCAGACAGTTACTTATTTCTGTTTCTTCCTCCTTAAAATAGAGATAACAAAAGTAAAATAGAGGAAACCAAATAATCTCAAAAGGTTTTATTGTATTAAATGAGCACATTAGCGCCTATCACGTAAGTGCTCATTAAATGATACCACCCATTAACACCCAAGGGCACACATACTCTGTGATGTCCTGTCCCTCATTTAATATCTCCTAATGCTTCTGCCATCTCCTAAGAGTTCATCTGAAGACTTTTTTCCCCAGCAGATATATCTGGTACAAATCATATCTTGTATTTTTTGGCCCTGTCTACACACTGATATTGGGGGGGAAATCTCCCATAACAAACAGGCTATACCTAGATGAAGTGATCAAAAGAGGGGCTTAGTGTGGCATTTATTTGTGATGCTAACTTCACAGTCATGGGTAAGATCTGACTCAAGTAGCACTGGGAATAGCAGTAACAAATACAGTTTGCTGAATATTTGTTTTGGCTTATTGCTATTTTTCTCATTTTACAAATTAAGAAGCAAGTAAAAGACGACTAAATGATGGTCAGAATTTGAGTACAGAGTTCAAGCTCTTAACTACCAAGATACTACTCATTCCTTTCCTGGCAGGATATAAAGTACTGCATACTTTCTGAAACTCCACCTCCTTCCTTCCAACACTGACTCTATGACTATATAATTCCTAAAAGTACAGTCGACAAAAGACAGAAAAGAGTAAGGAAAAGAAGGAACGCTCTGCTCCTAAGCTGTCTTCCAAAGAGAAGAAAAACACAAAATGGGGGAAACTAGATCTTTCACCAGATAACTATGTAAAAGGGAAGCAACATCAGCAAGATGGCAGATTGTATAGCACAGACCTTGCTCCCCGCCAGAAACACCAATTTAACTACAATATACAGTCAAAAAAATCTGTGAGAACTCCAAAAACCAGTTAAGTTGCAGTACCCCAGGCTGGCTCAAGATCAAGAACAGCTGCAATGAAAACAGTAAGAAAAGCCACTGCATAACAACCAAAACAGCCCTTTCCCCAAGTAAGCACAACTCAGGAGTATGGGGGGAAGAGTCCAGCTCACAGCTTCTTTCTTGGGAGGGAACAAGAAAAGGAGAACTTGCATTCAACATTCTGGTCTCTCAGTGGAATGCCCAAGAAGCAGGTTTCCGTCTCACCTGACTTGGTGCACTGACAAAAAACCAGCAAACTTTGGCTGCCTAGGGGATATGGGGGAAAGAGGACAGCTCAACAACTTGTTGCAACAGAGAGTCTGTAGTACCAAAGGCAGACACCAGAGGGAGCAAAAGAGTACAAGTTCCTGAAAGGATCCAACAAACCTAAATGGAAAATTACATGCAAAAGCCCAGAGAAAATACGCTCTTATAGAAGACTGAAGGGGCCCCCAAAATTTTTAACCAGGCTGTCTGGTAAACGTCTTCCCTATATAAACTGTAAAGGATGAGAGAGGTGGTTGTTTTATCAACTGTACAAAAAAGAAAAAAGAAAAACAGGGGAATATGCACCAATGAAAGAAACAAAATAAATCTTGGAGAAACCAACCCTAAAGAAACAGAGATCAATGAATTTTGCCAGACAAATAATTCCATATAACCATCTTTAAAAAGGTCAATGCTCTATAAAAGAACACAGATAACCAACTAAACAGCATCAGGAAAACACATGAAAAAATGAAAACACCAACAAAGAGATTAAAAACTGAAAAGAAATCCTTTTGGGTCCCCTCCTACTGTGGGAGCTTTTCTGTCCTCTCAATAAGTCCTGCTTTCTTACCCAAAAAAAAAAAAAAAAAAACTGAAAAGAACCAAAAATAAATTCTGGAGATAAAGAATAAAGTAACTGAATCAAAAAGTTCACAAGTGGTGTTCAACAACCAACTTAAGCAGAATAAAGAATCATCAAATTGGCAAGTCATCTGAAATTAACAAGTCAGAGGAACAGAAAAAAAAAAAGAATTCAGAAAAGTGAAGTTTGAAGGACCTGTGGGACACCATCAAGCACAATAATACACGCATTATGTGAGTTCCAGAAAGAGAAGAGAGGAAGAAATGGGCAGAAAGCTAATCCGTAGAAGTATGGTAACAGGCAAAAAAGACTTTCCAAATCTTAAGGAAATGGATATCCAAATTCAAGAAGCTCAAGAGACTCCAACTAGAATAATCCCACAGAGGCCCACACACACTGTTGAGTCAACTATCAAAAGTCAGAAAAAATCTTGGAAAAAAAGAAAAAGAGAAAAATGACTCATCACACAAAGTTCTCCCATAAGATTATCTGCAGATCTCTCAGCAGAAAGAAACATTACAGCCCAGGAGAAAATCCTGCAATACTATAATGGTGATGCTTAAATCACTTTTAATTCTGGAACAATACTTTAAAGATAAAAACTTAAAAAAAAAAAAACTATACAAAACTATGTTCAAGGATATACAAAATATAAAAAATGTAACTTGTGACATCAATAAAGTGGAAAAGCATTGTAAAAGTAAAGTTTACAACTGAAGTTATTATCAGTTTAAAATAGACTGCTATAACTGTAAAATGTTTATGTAATTCTCAAGGCAACCCTGAACAAAATACCTATAGAAGATGACCTGAAGGAAATGAGAAGGGAATCAAAGCATGTCATTATCCAAAAAAAAAAATTCAACAAAACATAAAAGGTAGTAGGAGAGGGAAAAAGGGACAAAATAACTAAAAGTACATACAAACTAGCAAAATGATAATAGTAAGACCTCCTCTATCAATAATTACTTTAAATGAAAATGCATTAAATTCTCCAGTTTAAGGGCACAAAGTGGCTGGATGGACAAGAATCTAACTTTAAACATAAGGAGATAATGCATAGGCTGAAAGTGAAAGGATGGAAAAAGATATTCCTTACAAGTGGTAACCAAACCAGAGTGGGATAGTTATACTTGTATCAGACAAAAGATACTTTTATCTTACCAGGAAGATACAGTAGAAAAAAAATATACATAACCTAACAGGTGACCACCCATACCAATGACAGAAATGAAGGAAGAACTAATACAATACAGTAATACAATAATAGTATATTTCAATACATCAGTTACAATAATGGGCAGATCAACTAGACAGAAGATCAATAAGCAAACAGAGGAATGAACATTACAGACCAGATCTAAGGACACATAGAGAACACAATACCCAATAATAAAATACACATTCTTCTCAAGTGAGCAGAGAACATTTGGAGAAAACAGATCACGTTAGGTTACAAAACGAGTCTTAACATACCAAGTGCCTTTTTAGAAAACATATTCCACAATGGAATAAAACCAGAAATCAATTAAAAAAAAAAAAAAAAACTGGAAAATTCACAAATGTGCGAAAAATTAAATACATTCTTCAATAACCAATGGGTCAAATTTTAAAAATCACAATATAAATTAGAAATACCAATACAAATGAAAACAAAAATACAACATAACAAAATTTA